AGTTAAGCGGGAGAGGTCCTGGGATAAAATCCCGGGGAAACAATAAATTACTTCGGTCGGGCAGGGCACAGAAGTCTGATTACCTAGTCTATAAATAAAACCGATCCGTGAAAATACATAGAAATGCTTGAGCCCCATGCCCCACAGGGAGAAACGGGATTTCATTGTTTTATTATATCGTATTAATAATAATACCTGTTTATTACAGAAAAATATGATTTTCTTAAATGATTAACAATATGAGATATAACAATTTTACAATTACTTTTGATTATATACTAGCTGTTTAAGTAGTAGTAGTAACATAGTAGTAGTAGTTAGTAACATCGATTTCAGTTCGTGACGTTCCGGAGTCGGGTGAAATGTAATTTTGCTATTTTTTTTTAATTCTCAGAAAATTCCTAACACGCCCGATAATCTCGTTACTCATAAAAGCAATAAATTGCCCATTATTGCCTCTTTATATTTACACTGCAAATGAACGTACATCCATCCTGTAACTTCTTAAAGTTTCATTCTTCTTTTCTCTCTAGAGATTCCGCTGTTGTCATTTCAAACATACGTATAAGGAAAAAGGTAAATTGACAGTCTTTGTAAAAGGTGAACCGTGCGAGCGCCAGCTCATTTTAATTTCCCCTTGAAACTTGTGAGCGAAGTAAAAAGTGGCGACGCGGCAAGGCTACGAGGGTGCTTCAATGTACGAAACTTGGCTACCAGCTATTTATTCAGGGCTGGTCGCTTATTATCGGAATAGGTGTTAATCTTTTTTGTAAAGTGTCGCTAAAGTGTCAATTTAAAATTCGAATTCGAATCGATTACTAATATAGTTCTTCGTAGCGATAGCGAAGTAAACCCCATGCCATGTCTGTCCTCCTCTGTCATTAAAAAAAAAACAAAAACAATCAATATCCAGATATTCCTGACGATTTCTAGTATGTATCAAAAAATATATAAATTGTATTGCGGCGCAATAAACGGAGTGAATTAGCAGGCAAATCTTCGCAGCAGCGTTGTTTGTACCCCTGTACGTATTTGGGTCTATTTTGGCAATCATTCAGGGCAAAATAAAACGTCGAAAGGTAAACATCCAAAGGTCTTTATTCTCGGTGATTATGATCTAAAACATTATCATTTTACGATATCTACTTGTTGGATCGAGTGGGGATCGAACCCAGTTAATTATTATCCATACTACTATAATTTGATGAACGAGCCTGCAATATAGTTATACATATAATACTGTTTCACATTCCTGGAAACCTAACCATAATTAAAAGGATTTGATGCATTCTAGTGGCTAGACGAAGCACGATTAATATGTACTTATTACATACTGTTCGGATTAATGCGGTTACAATAAGTAATAGAATCAATTTAATAAGTATTCCAAAGCTAATCTAAGGCGAAGATATATTTAGATACGTCAAGACGAAAGGGATCCAGGTTTGAATCCCGGAGTTACGTTTTTCATTATAGAATGACATTTAGCTAAATCTTGTGTTAGACTATTTGACTGATTTTTAAAATGTACTTTATATTATTTGGTATAAATTAAAGAACCCCAGAAAGGTAGTACTTTTTTAATACATATTTGCTGTAATATATCAAATTAGAAAACTTCTAAACGCCAATTTTGTGAAACAACGCTGCAATACGGCTAGTGACGTCACAACCTTATATTGGCGATTAGTGTAGTAACTATATTTTTTGCATTGTAAATAGCACATTACTTTAGTTCAAAGATCAAATAACAACTTTTTTAATTCTACATTCTCACCTTTTCGTTAAGCACACCATCGTCGCGTAAAATGTGACAGCCCTAGCTGTTAACTCTAACAATGTTAACTTGTGATCTTAGAACAAGTACGTATGTGGAGGTATCTCCATAAATTTTCATAAATAGAAGCGAAGAAGTAACACTTTATAAGAACAGGTGACAATTATTTAGATATTCTTAACTTTATATTTTTTAAGTTTAGTGTTCGTAATAAAGGCATTTTCTTCCATAATATACTTCTTGATTGAGTTATACGACGATTTAGACAAATGTGTATATCTCAAAGCAAGACAAAACAAAGATACGGTATAAAAATAAATCATTAAAATGTTGTCATTTATTTAAATAAGATAAAAGTGCTGTCTGTAGTTTACGCGAGTAGTATACAACTAAATAAAATATTTTGACGGTTTAAAACACGATATGTTTTACTAATTAAACTTATTTGAAAATTATTTTAACCACGGCCCGACCTTTCGGAAATACCAACTTCGACGCAACAGATGGCGCTACCGTGGCAGTTTTACTTTGACGTCAGAGACACCATCCATCTTTAGTCTTCCCGTGACGACGGTCGCTGCAAAGCAGCCTAAAGCGGGCCGTAGTTAAAATAATTTTAAAATAAGTTTAACTAATATATATCGAGTTTTAAACCGTTGAAGTGTTTTATTGAAAAGATAAATGTGTCTTAACCAAAAACGAAAAATATTATTTACATTTTTCTAACTGCGGCGAAGTTACTAAAAAATCAAACTGCTTTATAATTCACCGCCATATTTCTATTCAAGCATATTAGATGAACACTCCGGCAAAATTTATGGCTCTCTCGTTGAGTCTGGCAACACTCAATGCTGGCTAGTTGACCATTAAGTATCGTAATTTATCTCGAAAAGCTCGTAATTTTATAGATGTTGTCTATGGCCCGTGGTACCGATTACTCAGGTCTTTAATCTTTTCATTAACCCGGACTTGTTGACATTAATTACGATAAATTAATTGATCTATATTTATTACTTTGGCGGATCTATGTCCCAGTCACTCGATCTTGATAAATGTATCTATTAGCAGTATACACGGATCAACAAATAATATTAGTAAATTTTGGAATAGTCAAAAGTAAGCAATTTATTTCTTACATTATATTTATTTGAATTAGTTAAAACAATTTTATTCAGTTTCGAATCTTGAGTGCTTGTTTGTTCAATTCAGATTATTTCCTTTTTTATTATGTGAGTATTTTAACATTTGATACTTGTTTTTTTCTAATTTAGCAAACTTAATGACAGAAGATATATCAAAGTAAATAAGTGATTATGCGATGAATTTTAAATCGCATTTACCAATATTATTATGCAAATATGCAATTTCAAATGTCAAATAATTAATTCTGAGTCTGATAACATGTCCTTTCTGCTCACTCCATAATATACGCTTCCATGGCCTCGCCTGTCGAATGCAGGAAAAGCATGTACGTAAATAGAACGCTACGTAACTGCCGTCTTCAACGAAAGCTTTTCCACTAAACGACACGTAAATTGTAATCTCAGAGAGGTTTTAACTTTGAAGTTCACTTCTCGATAGCAAGTGTCTATAAGTGTCAAGTACAGAACTACTCTTAGGCAATTTACTATTCTTATCACTGTTTGTAGTTCACGCGCGTAGTACACATTTAAATAAAACACTATAACAGTTTAAAACGCGGAATATATTAGTTAATCTTATTTTTACTACGGCCCGACGTGTCGGATGCTTTGTAGCAGCCGTGGTCATGCGGAGGCAAATTTCAAATTAACTACCTAATTAAGTGGTTTATTTAAATATTATTATCACATTAATATATAAAAGCCTTATTTGTCTACGTGCAACTTTCGAAGTTCCTGTTAAAATATTTGCTGTTTATGAACGAAAACATCGTGAAACATCATATTCTAGAACCGTCTAATACGCATTAGACGAACATGATGACTAATACACTCTACGAGGTCCCAGTAGTGGGAATCCTAAACGTTTAATGATAATCTAATGTGTTATTGCTAACAACAGCTAGCGAAATATTACCTGAAAATTCGTTAAGTATTCGTTAAAGTTTATCATCTCGATTCAAATATAGAATCTATACTAATATTAAACTAAGGAGTTGGTTTGTCTGAACGCACTAATATCAGGAACTACTGGTTTGAATTGAAAAATTATTTTTATGTTTGATAGATAATAGAACGAGCAATGTTTTAGGCTACATTACATTACACTGCGGCCAAATCTTAAGGGCTTCCGTTGTATGAGCAGCGAAAACATTTCAAGAAATCAAAAAAAGATTTATGTAGACTCTTTAAATGATCTAAAAAAATTGCTATACTATATCTCTATCTTTTAAAATTAACTCGGAAGTATAGCGGGACGCAAACGAACTCGCAGGCATAGCTAGTTCAGTATATACTGTATTTCTATTGAAACAGAATGTATAAAAGTACATCTTAAATCCAATAACTTGGAGAAAACAAAGTGAAGTCTCCCTCGGCCCCCTTAGTCACGAATTCCATATAAACACATGGTTGGTACCGAATATTGATAGATTCAATTTGTTTTTTGCTTTGGAAATATTGACGTCTGTTGTTTACGAAGTAGAACGTATGAAATAAAACACTTTAACGAATTCATGTAAGCACGAGTGCAGTAAGGTAAACAGATAAATGTAATTCACTGATATATTTTTCGATTAAAACCGTTAATTTAATATTGCTTAGAATGGTGTATGATTTAAATGATAATGCGATTATAATAACGCAGTGCAATGCGTCAACAAACAAATCATAGGGTAGATTATGATTACGATAACATTTCATAGATTTGATAGAACAATAATTATAAATAACGTATCTAAGTATTGCCTGTAGTTTACGCGAGTAGTACACATCCAAATAAGTTATAGTGACGCTAGCGTAGCAGGTTTGTCTTAGGGGACAGCCTCCACTTCGGACCCATCGCCAACTCCCCCCACGTCGTGGCACGTCTATTACAAAGCATCCGAATAGTTGTTAAATGGAATGTATTTACTATAGACGTCAAGGAATTGTTAACAAGAAATTTGATTTGTTTAATTCGAAAATGTCCTTGATGAAACTTAAGTCTGGAAAAGTCAATTACGCATAATTTTTAGTTATATATGAACCTAATGTAATGTTATTTTAATTAAATAAGTAAATAGATATATACACATAATAATATGCACATAAAGGTTTCAAGAGACACGACAAACTTCAGAGGGTCTAACGAGGCAACTTGTGTACGAGGTACAGTGTCAGGTCTACAAGTTTGCATTGACGAGGAAACTGTAACTAATTGTTTGCTTGGCTTTTGGCAAACGATAATTGAACTATAAAATATCTATTTTGTTGATATATATTCGACATCAAACACGATGTCTTTGTATTACTTCATTGAGAATTGCTGGTTCGTTTACTAGAGCCAAGAAAATCGTACTTAGTTAAGAGACTAATTGTAGATTAAATAATTAATTATAATTATTTTTGTGTCGTTTTTTTACTTATTAACAAAGGTACTAAAGATACAATTAACAAAACGCTGTAAACACAAATTGACAATCAAATAAATCATTTTTGACGGGCTAATTGTTGTAATGGCAATGTATCGCTAATGTATCGTCTTGGGTTCTATCCCGAGCGGGTCCAATATGTTTCTAATCAATTTATATTTTTTCTGAATCATCTTGGACTTCGTCTGGAAATCTGGATATGAAATGGGTATATAATATTGGATATGGAAATAATATCGGATATGGAAATAATATCGGAATTCCGTCTGGGTCACGAAACACCGTCCACAGTTTCGGTTTCAGTCTATGGATTTCCGAACCTCCAAAGCCAAAATAGGCCTTAGGTATTTATCTTACCATTAAGTTAACCCCGTGTTTGTCTATCCCTCTAAATCGTTAAAAACGAATTTATTGATCGAAATAGTTATTAATAACATCGTGAAAGGCTTTTTTCTATCGTAGTCGTATGTGCGAACAAAATATTCTCCCCCATTTCTAGAAAACGATGTAAATATTTACCTAATTAAACAAACTGCACCGTAAACTACAAAAACACGACTGCCAATTTCCGGCGGGTACGCTCAAGTTAATTAAGCAAAAGGAAATAGAAAATTGAAATAACTAAGTGAAAAGTCTGTAATTAACTGTGAAATAACAAGAAGTTGGGTCTAGCGAGGCGGTAGAGCGAGCGGAGTCGAGATGAGTTGGCAATTGCACTTGATACATTCCGGGTGGCTGGTGATTCTACGATATAGCGCGGATGGGACAGCTGGAGGAATTGAGAAAAACGTGGAGAACTGTACCGTACATAGTATTTTAAAAGTTTACACTGTTCTACACGGTACACGATACTGTAATAGCATATCGCGGGAGGCTCCGAGTTCGAATCACGGGAGGATAAAAGATCTTAAAACTTTTACGGTTGCAGCAGCGGCGGTAACGAAAGAAAACATCGGGCGGTAGTTAAAATAAATTGAGGCACATCTTTAGCGTTTTAAACCGTTAAACGTGTTTAATTTTAATGTGAACTATTTGCCTAAACTCCTGACATTACTTTATGTTTTTACGTGTATTGCACATGGTGGCTTAATAAATTAAAAATCTGTTTAGCTTGCAGTAGATACCGATCGATCGATTAATCAATCTAAAAAGTTTTTTTTTAATGTAAAAAGTTCATTGTTTCGATAGTTTTATATGGTACGTGTCTTAAAATATTTCCTTAAAATAAGATACGGAATGAAATACTGAAATTATCTTAGATACGAATCACAATCTACGAACCAATTAATGGCTCTATTAATTTCAAAGTAACGAATGGATTATAGAAAGTAAAGTTTTTAGCGTTTTAAGCACGTATTAATGACATTTTCATCTAATGAAATGACTAAAATGTAGCCAAAAGCGGAGCTTTCACAAAAATAATTTGTACTCGAATGCAAATTACAAAACATCAACGCAAACTTAAAGAGAATCCCGGGAATACTTGAATTCGTCGCCGACATTAATTAATTATTTGTCCAGTTTTGAAATGCTTAACGAATATTCGTTTCATTAAATCTCACAAACACGCTTGATTAATGCTCCGTACAAAAGTCCCTCCTCAAATCATTATTTTTCCTGAATGGGTAGGGACCGATGCTGTCACAAACAAACGTGAAATTTAACATCTCTTGTTGAAAAGTGATGACTGAAAACGCCCAAAGTGGACGTGGTGCGATTCTCTGTGAAAAACCTTTCTTACAATTTAAAGACGTAGGAAAAAACGCGGGAAAAATGTTAAATGAGATTGGAATTGTGATTACGTAATCAGTAATTATTTGGAAACAAAACGTGGCGTTTATCTTTTGTATTTAATAAATTTATAACATTCCTTTAAGAAGTAGAGTACAAAATAAGCATAAAGTTATGTATACTGGCGTCACATTAACTTATTATACCGTTTTTCAACAAAAAAAATATAAAGCTGAAGAGTTTGTTTGAACGCGCTAATCTCAGGAACTACTTGCCCGAATTGAAGAATTAATATTGTGTTAGTTAGAACATTTATCGAGGAAGTCTATAAGGCTAATTTCGCGCCGTGACTAATAGGAGCGAAGAAACGGCGGGAAATGCGACAAAAACGAGAAAAATTATGTATGCAAGGTTTCCGTTGCGTGTGGTGTGAAAACGGTTTTAGAAACCAAAACAATATGTATGGAAGGATAATTTCTGAATGATCTGAAAAAAGTCCACGACGCTATATGTCTATCTTTTAAGATTACCTTGCGGCGCATACGACGGGATACGAATGGCCAATGTCCATGTTGTCCATGCCCAAAATAACTATTCTATGCGGACGACGCATACACAGCTAGTATTATATAATCTAAAACTCACTTATTTATCATTCTATAGCTAACGATATAGTATATGTCATTCTACTAACTAAGTATGATTTTATTACATTTTTTATCACGTCACATTTACATTTTATCACGTCACATTTACATTTTATCACAATTACATTTACAATTTACTGAAACTAAAGCCTTGCTTAAAACCAATTAGTTTAAAATTGCATTTCAGAAGCTTGTAGCGTATTTAGATACCAATTCGTAAATAGCGATTGGACTATTAAATTGTCCTCTTGAAGCCAAAGATCTTGTATAACTGATTACGAAAATAGTGTTTTAAATAAATTTCTTTAACGGTAAGCATCGGAATCGTCGGGCCGTAGTTAAAACTATTTTTAAATAAGTCTAACTAATATATATCGCGTTTTAAACTGTTAAAATTTTGTATTTAAATGTGTACTACTCGCGAAAACACTTATCTGTTCAACAGTTAAGAAAAAAAACCGCTTTTGATAAAATTCATTAAAAAATGTGTGCGTGTGTGAAATCCCGTTTCCCCGATCGGAACAACTTTTTCCCCTAGGATTCGAACCTAAGACCTATCGCGTATAACGGAATGCTACGCAATACGTTTAACTATTTCGCTACGGAGGCGGCGGATAAAATTAATTTAAGTAGCTTTTAATCTCAAATCACAGTTATCTAAATATTTTGTTTTTAGACTTTTTAGAATACTTTAAGGATGATCAAAATATACTTTAAACTATTGGTTAAGATGACAGCGTCACGCCATCTGGTGTCTGTTGTATATTTCATAGTTTAAAAAATAATAATATATAGACATAACTATTCTTATTGTAACCAATACCCTATTCGATTTCTTTCATACACCAATGTAAAAGAGGGTCTTTAAATGGAAACATTACAGGTTCTGTAGCAACGAGACGTTAAACAAAGTTACCGGACCTAAATAAACGACAACTGTTTACGCAGACTGCCTCCAAACTGTTCGTGTACACAAAAAGTAAATTGTTTTTACTGCCGCTGTTTTTAACCGGATGTCATTTTAGGGAAGCTTTAAAACGTATTTCACATGTATTTTTTAAGGGTTTTTATATAAAAATAATAAATCACTATCTATTTATTTCGTATCTAAAACTGTAGCTACTACCTGCGGAACCTATAAATAACTATGAATGAATTTCCTATAAAATTTTATCACAATTGAAAAATTTAATAAATTACTTTTTAACGGTTTAAAACGTGATATGTATTATTTTACTTACTTATATAATAATGTAGTTAATATAAATTGACTAATACATTTTGCGTTTAAGCCATTAAAATGTGTTTTATTTATTAATATTCCATTAAAAAACCTATCAATCAAATGGTTACAAAAAGTAAATGTGAATTTTAAATAAGTCTTTATATTATATAGTTTTAGTGTCATCTATAAACCCTTTTTCATAACGACAACTAGCGTGACAAACAGACGTAAAAGTGGTTTTCGCTATACCTAAAACTAGTTTCCCGCATGTAAAACTCGGGTTGGTTCTTATCGATCGTAGTTACAAGCTTTTACATAGAACGTGATGGAAAATGCATGGAGGCTTATGGGCTGTTGAACTTGGCTTTTATTTGCCAATTGAGCGTAAATGCCCATATTTTTACGCCGTTTCGTTTTATTGGTATTTCCAGTACGTTTAATTTTAGATAGGAAAGAGCTGTTTAATAATCGGAATTGTAGAGGTTTAATTAATTATCTTTTATTATATTTAATATTTCCACAATACTCGTGTAAAATAAGTAACAATAAAGTATTGCTTCTCTATATTTATAGCTTAGTACAGATACGGATTTTTATAACAAACTAGCAGTGACAGCGACTTCGTCCATGTAGAATATTGGGCATGCAGATTTGTTTTTGCAAACTCCCTCATCTTTATAAATTATACCCAATACGCCCGTCGCAATGTGGTTACGAATCAACGGGTCGTCGGTTCGATATCTACCGGGTCCAACATTTTCCTAATCGACTTATAATTTTGGTCATATTGAAGTTCGTCTGGAAATCTGGATGTTTAATGAATGGTGGGAATATCGAAATTCCGGCCGGGTTTTGAACAATCTTCCACAGATCAAGCCAGTTTATTCGTCTGTGGATTTCCGAATATACAAAGGCAAAATAGGACGACAGCGCATTTTGTTTGGATGTTATATGGCTGGGATGTTTCACGTACTATCAAGTGAACATTTTTGTCTATCCTCTATAATAAATCATATTCCTAAGTATTATTTGATGTTTTTTAGAAGATCAATTGCGAGGGATTAGTATTTTATAACTTCACCTATCGTTTAATATAAGGTAACAAACAAAGCATAGTATAGAGAGTTCAATAACCTTAACTGTAATCGGAAATTTCAGACTCCTCCCGACGTCTAGACAGCACGAACTGTATTGAGACGCTATTTGTCTTACTTATTCCAGACTTTACTGTATTGAAATTGATTACTTTCCGTTTCATACCATATTCTTGAAACATTTTGGCTCATGAAAATTTTATTATTGAAAGTATTTTCTGTTGCAATAAAGATTGCCTTCTTTTGTTTCATAAGAATACATTACTAATAACCATCGCATTAATAAAAGTAAAGACTATAAGTTACGGAGTGCTGGACACCATATTGCTTTATTTGTAACTAAAAGGCTAAATATAAACAACGAATTTTATAGTTAGTTAGCAGTATCTATAATTTTTCAATTAGTACAAATTTTATTGACTTACCAATTTTTAGGTATAGTAGAATTCTATACTTTGTAAGCCGGATAAAAAATCTTATTTGTATATTGAACTTTGTAATCTGTAATATAAATTACAAAATGTAGTGTAATAAATGTAAATATTCTATTAATTTTGCCTGCCTGTTAATCTCTGTGGAACAAAGGCTTATTTATATCCTCTCTTTCAGACCACAAACAGCGCGGAACCACAAGTGGCGGTGTTGTGTGAAGCAGGGGCTTCATACCACCCCCAATACATGTCGGCCGCCGGTCGGTGGACGCCCGACCTCACCACCAAACCACACAACTGCTTGAAGGACAAGATGGAAATACTTGACTACTGCAAGAAGGTAAAACTGACAATTCCATGTCTAGTTTCCAATAAGCAAAAATTTGAATTAAGTGCGGGAGTTATATTAATTGTATCCATTCAAAATAACAATTGACAAGGTCCAAAGTTTAGGACTATAGTGATTGGGAACTATACTATCATTCTAAGTCTTGTCGCTTCGCTGTTCCAGGTATACCCAAGCCATGACATCACTAACATCGTAGAAGCGTCACACTACGTAAAGGTCAGCAACTGGTGCAAGTTGGGTTCTGGTAATGCTGCAAAGTGCAAAGTCACTAGATGGGTTAAGCCGTTCCGGTGTCTCGGTATGTATCTTTGAGTAACATTTATTTTAATAATAGAGAAGGACAGACAAGCATGAGGCTCACTAAATGAGAGGTGTAATACCCCAGCCATTTTGGCTTTGGATATTCGGAAATCCACAGACTTAAACCGAAACGTGATTAAACTTCACGGCAAGAATTAAAAACTGTTTAAATTCTTTGCCCTACATCTTATTTTGCATAACCTAATAATCAAAGGAATAATATAATCTGCAATAACATTGCTATCTACTAACTACTTTATATCTACTAAAAGTATATATGATTCATATTATATTTACAAATATTTGATCAAATTCCCGTTAACTGCAAAGATCGTTTGGCGGCAGAAGGTCCATTCCAATCGGACGCGCTGCTGGTCCCCGAGAGCTGCCTCTTCGACCACATCCACAACCAGAGTCGATGCTGGCAGTTCTCTAGGTGGAATGCCACAGCGGGTCGAGCTTGCGCACAGCGTGGACTTCGTCTCCGGACCTTTGCTATGCTCCTGCCGTGTGGAATTAGCTTGTTCTCAGGCGTCGAATTTGTCTGCTGCCCAAAACATTTCAAGGGTAAAGATTCGTTAAGAACTGTTTAATTCACACTAATGCACTAGAAATGGCTTAGTACATAGACAGATGATAATTTTAGTATATAGATAATAAACTAAGTATTTGCACTTATAAAATATCTACAATTCATTTCATTAGGTGGTAAATCACATAAAAAAACATTCAATTGCTTTATTCTGAAAAACAGGGTGCTATTTTTCTGAAAACGGATCATACATGCCAAAATATATATAATAGAATGTCACTTTCATTTTAGAAAACGTGAAAATGCATAAACCTATGGAAGTTGGAGTACCAGTAAGCCCTGGCGGTGAAGAAATGCTTGCCGCATCTGCTGCGATGGACGAACGTGATGACGAATTGCTTGACGATGAAGATGCTTTAGCAGATGATGACGATGACACCCTTAACTTGAGCGACGATGATGACGACGATGACGCTGATGATGGTAAGGATTTCATTATTCTTTATTATTAAAGGAGACAGTAAAACATTTGAAACTTAGAAATTATGTTACTTTATGAAAAATATTAATAAATTAAGCATTGTCCTCTCAGATATGGATGAGGATGAAGACGCTGACTTATCTCGCGATGACGACGCTGAAGATGATGATTACACCGACAGCGATGATTCTGCCTGGCCACACCCTGAATCTTCCTCTGCACCGTCTACTACTACGTCTACGACTACTACTACGACAACAACCACTGTGGTACGTATTTTTTAAACTTAGTTAACGGAAAACTTTAATAACGGTGTAATATAAAACCGCTTCAGAGTTAAATCAGAAAAGTTTTATTGGCGTTGGATTTATAGTAGTTTTAGGTACGTTCTTTACTTATATTTACTACTTAAATATTTGTTTCATTTTCAGGCATCCACTGCTACGTCTGATCCTTACTTCTCCCACTTTGACCCTCGCACAGAACACCAAAGCTATAAGGACGCTCAGCAGAGACTAGAGGAAACCCATCGTGAAAAGGTAACTTCCAAAACAATAGATCTTTATACTATGGAAAATTACTACAGATCAAAATGCCATGCATTATTTTGATCTGTTGTTCCGGTCTGATAATGGTTTTTATAGGAAATTTCCATTGTCCTATAAAAACCATTATAAAGTTATTAACTTTTTATTATTTTTATTTATAATTGAAAAGAATTATAAACACGTTGCTGTTATATGTGACACTGATAATATAAATAAAAATACTAGCCAATACAAAATAGAAGCAATTAACAGCGTAAGTAAAAAACTTTAAAGCTATTTAAATTATTGTGAACTTACAATAATGATAAAAACATTTCTTTACTATCCTAACAATTGATTAGCCAATTACTATAATAATGTAACATTACTTTACAGATCACAAAGGTGATGCGAGAATGGTCTGAACTTGAGGAACGCTACCAACAGATGATGACGTCAGACCCTGCTGCTGCCCAGACTTTCCGCCAGCGCATGACCGCCAAGTTCCAGTCGAACATTCAGGTACCATTGATATGCTTGTTCCTGTCATTAATAAGAAAAGAGGACACCACTGTCAGAAACTTTTTGTATAATATAGTTAGATCAATGAGGGTACAGTGACAACTCAATGGATCAAATAGTAGACTAACCGCAGAAATCCCTGTCGATGAATCCGACACGTGACTTAATTCTTGTAAACGCAATTCTTTCTGATTTATTTAAATATATCATAGAAAACCAATTAAGGCATAAAATTTAGTACTGGAAAAATCGTGCAAAAACATTTTAAAAATTTATATATAAAGAACATGCTTATAATTTTTACTCCTCCTAGTCATTGGAAGAAGAAGGAGTGGCTGAACGTCGCCGGCTAGCTGCCTTGCATCAGCAGCGTGTTTTGGCTCACCTTGCTCAGCGTCGTCGCACTGCTCTTGCGTGCTACACTCGGTCACTTCGCGATACGCCACCAAATGTATGTAAAAGAAATTTAAATTTTCCAATAAAACTTTGTGCAACCTCTAGAATTAAAAATATTTATTTATTTATATATTAACTTTATTAATTACAAACACCACAGAAATGGTTTACAACAATATGTCTTATTAAGCATCTGCGAAGAATTTCTTTACCTGAACGGTGTGTACAATGTTAATAGATTGTATCTTTATAGGCTCACCGAGTACAAAAATGCCTTCAACGACTTGTCCGCGCTCTTGCTGCTGAGCGAAGTGGAGCACTAGCCGCATGGAGACGCGCTGCTGCCGCTGGTAGAGAAGCAGCTGCCGCTGAAAGGGCAAGTGCTGCAGATAGATTACAGGTATTTGTATAACACTGTGTCTCTAAACTAAATTTGAAATATTTTAGATATAAAACAGGACTGAAAGTTTTTGTTATATTAATCGCAGTTTTCCTGTTATTACAAATAATATTATTGCTACTTTAAAACTAATTTTTAAACTCTTTAGGATGCTGACCGTGCTCTACAACGCGCACTATCCGCTCTTCGCCGTCGCCCACACTTATACGCTAGCATTGGAACAGCTATTGAAGATTATGTTCAGGTATGTGAAGACACCACATCGTAATTATATTCCTAGTTACGTAGTTTTAATAAAATTTATTAAGAAAAAACTTAAGACGTATTTTTAAATTTAGAACAAGTTTTATTGATCAGATGTACATACTAATCCACAGTCAATGCAGTCCAAGGACGATATGGCCGTATCCCTCATGTCAATGACTCCTGAAGCTGAAGAGCTGTTGCTGGACCGTATTGAGGCTGAGGTTCAAAGGGAACAAGCGGCTCGCGAACAACTTAATGCTAAAAGGGAAGAACGAACACGGCAGAGGCAGGATATTGAAAATGAACGAGAGAAGGTAGGAAAATATTTCTACGTCCTAAAGAAAAAGACTACCTGCTTGAGTGTAGTCACATACTTAGATCTTCTTGTCAAATTTCATATAATGAAAAATAATGATTCATAAATACACATATGTTAGCTCTTTTAGAGTCTTTATTTTATTTATTTATTATATTTATTTAGTATTGATTCTAATGAGAGGCTGCTAGAGGCAGAACCGCCTAATAAAAAAAACATGATTTTTAATAAGGAGGAAAATAAAATGCGCAATCAACTTGGCGAAAATGAATTTGTACTATTATTTGTGTAAGAATTATGTTAACAATTTTTGGTGCTCTTGTAGATTAACATTTTTAGACTATAAAAATATAAATAACACAAGTCATAAAATTCCAGTTAGGGTTCTCTGCCTCGAGCGATCTTACATATCTGTAATATTTTGGAATGTTCAAATACGTTGAAAAATGATCTAAGCACTGATAAATCCGAGACCTTCTATCCAAAACGTCTATTTGGGTTACATTTATTTGTTATTTGTTTTTTAGACATCTAACGGCGTTAAAGAGATTGAAGAAACAGACGACGAAGCCAGCGAGGTCAATGACACTGAGGAGACCAGCACTGCAGCCAGCAGCCCCTCTCCCGCGCCTCCTTCGCTACCTCCATCGCCCTCTGCTTCGGTATCTGTTCACGACCTCACCACCCGCGCTGCTTACACTCAGGAGACTACAACTACTGTGAGTCTACAGTAACTCGTTTTAGCTCTAGTGTTACCTTTATTAACAATTATTATTGTGAATATCCCATCTCCAAGGTTGCCTGGAAGAAATCGCTTTTATCGATAAGGCCGCCGTTTCTCGCTAAATTCTTAAAATTAAATTATATGACAATAATTTTTTTATTTATTTGTGGACCACTAGCAAGAGGACCACTGCAATTTATATACTAACAGTTTTATTCAGTGGGTTCGAAGCTAAGTAATGACATTAGCTTCTCTTATTAAAGAAAGCAGGTATTCCTTTATTAATTGACAAGGCATCGTGCCTTGTCAATGAATAAAGGAATACCGGCTTTCTTTAATAAGAGCGTTTAGTAATAGTGAACATATAAAAATATCTGTAACAGGAACTCATCACGAGCACAATGACTGAGGCTCCAGATAGTGAAACTGAAACTGGCGATATTGGAGAAACATCAAGTCGACGATCTACTAGCGAGGTATGTGATAAATATTACTTCTTATATAAGAAGAGGATATTAGCTACTATGACGATCACTTGATGGAATGTTAATACCTTTTATTAATCTACTAGCTATGCCGGTGACTTTCGTAGAATAGTTATTTTCGAGGTCAAAATCTGTTTATGCAAACCTCCATCTCGCCTTTATGTATTACAGCTGTTATTAATATAGGTTAATCGTAGTTGGGATGCGCCGTTAACGTCCTTCGGCTTAGCTCATGCGTAAACTCAAAAGAAAACGAGACTTTCTATATCTTATAGAAACTGTTAATTGTTAATATGCTGCCTAATAGACGAACAGTAAACTAAACCAAAATCAGTGTAGTCGCTACACTACACTAATCTGTGGTAAAACTTATACTCACCCTTTTGGCATCACATTACATTTTATTTCCCCTTCACTCGTCGTAGTGGAAAGTTAAAAAGATCGCAGCTTGATATACATATACGGACCATAAAGCCGTACCCGAGACAGTACCATTTCTGAGAGAGAAAGAAGTATTATATTTTTATTTTATTTTAGACGGAAGGTGAAGGACTTCGAGCCGCGTTGGAGCAAGCCGAAGAGCGCGCCCCACCTCCGCCCGCCCACGCTTTGAAACATGAACTGCAACATTCTCAGCCTGTACGTACTTTGTAACTTTATACGTGTAAACTTAGAAATATAGAATAAATAATAATCAAAGCAAATGAATGTTATCAGAAAAAAGTCAGATAAAATTTTTGATAACTTTTAAAGGGTTTTCTGTTGTTATCGTAACTAAGAAATAATTCTTGAAGTTTCAGTATGGATCACATCGAAAATAATTTCTCAAATACATAATATATACCTAAACAAAAAAATTACATTTAAATTTGACAAAAAAGGTATGTATATAAAAATGTGATTTATTTTAAAAGAAAACAACAGTAAAAAAAGAAATACTGTCTATAGTTTACGCGAGTAGTACACATTCAAATAAAACACTTTAACGGTTATAACGCGATATATTAGTTAAACTTATTTGAAAATGATTTTTAACTTCAGCCCGACGTTTCGGATGCTTTGCAGCAGCCGTGGTCACGGGGAGAATGATTTTTCAAATAAGATTAACTAATATATCGCGTTTTAAACCGTTAAAGTGTTTTATTTAAAAGTAAAAGAGAAAGTTAAAAATTGATTTTAGAATGAAAATTTTTTTCGACACGGGCAGGTCTTGAACCGACATCCGAATTAAAGTTACTTACTACATATACTATTTATATGTAACCAACTTATTTAATAACATAAAAATTACCTTCATTGAATTAAAAACGTAGTCCCAATGATCTCGGGAAAACAAAATCTTACCTAGATAAAGAAAATTACTTGAACACGAAAATTCGGACAAACAACACAAATGCCTACTAAACGACAGTATTTAGAAACGTCGACTAGTAGTAAAGGTGTTCTTACTGATTTCCAGGGTTACACTGTTCGAGGTGCGGCCCCCAGCAATGGTGGATCCGGGGCTTTGTACCCAGCGTTGTGCGTTGGCGGTGCAGCACTCGCAGCAGCTGCAGCCGTTGCACTGGCTGTGGCTCGCCGCCGTGACCGCGCTCCATCTGCTCAGGGATTTGTTCAGGTAAGTTTAAGAATAACTACTAAATATTTTAAAAAAATCCCTTAATGAATAAGTAGCTATTCTCAAGATTATAATTATTCTTGTTCAAATTAAGCATTATTAACGTTTAGGAACGCAAATTATATTAATATGAACTATATAATATACTAACAGCCCCCCATGACTACGGGTGCTGCAAAGCATCCGAAACGTGAGGTCGAGGTTAAAATAAAACTTAGTTTAACAAATAGATTTCGCGTTTTAAACGTGAACTAATATATTTTGTTTTTTGAACCATTAAAAATTGGTTATTTATTTATATTCTTGTTTGTTCGTTGTCGACAGGTTGAACAATCTGGCGCAGTGGCACCTTCTCCTGAGGAGCGGCACGTTGCCAACATGCAAATAAACGGATACGAAAATCCCACTTATAAATATTTCGAAGTTAAGGAGTAGATTCTTCATCCATGTCGCCACCAGGCTCCTCTTTCCCACCTTTTCTAAAAGTCTCGAAGCCAATACATTCCTTTTCCATCTGATTGGATTTCGCTTTTAGACACTCTTCGAATAAACTTGTGGTGTGTGCTTGCGTCCTAACACTTTCTAGGTTTAGACCTTCCCCCTTTATCTATGTCCTTTGAATTAATTCTTTATGGAATGAATGTGTGAGCCTACTTCATATATATACCTCTTCTGCGAGCCTGGTGGCACTTATTTACGTATTTATACAAAGCTTGTGTGATTAGTCAACGTATCTTTTGCGATATTTCGCGATCAGTCAAAACAATACTTACATTATAATAGCTAAGTAATAGATTAAAATTGTTTTAAATAATTATGTATCTGTTAATTTATGTTTGCACCAAATTATTATTTACCTATTAATATTAGGCTTAAGTTTTTTGTCTAGTGGTCTAGATTTTTAAGTGTCACTTTGTAGACGAGTTTTTTAAATTAGGTTCTGAGGCAACGGCTCAACAGATAACATCCATCGATCGAACGCATTTTATGCTTAACTGATATTAAAATGATCTCAACTTTGATTTTTCCCTCCTTGCACATTTCTCCCAAGATGAATGTTATTTCTCGAGTTCGCCTTATAAACGTCCATGGTACGCAGTGTATATAAACTCCGCGTACAAATTCGAACATTATTAATTACTCTTAATACCCGCTTTCCTTTTCTAATGTAGGTAGAACATAACGTGAATTTTATGTAATAAAATGCAAAAATATATTTTAATAATTATTGTGTACTTAGCGAAGGAACGGGCGGCAAAGCCGGCGCGGGCGAACGCTTACTCGGCCTTCTAGTCTACTTCTAGTCATCGTGGAACTATCTTTTATATCTCTCTATGGATCTCGTAAGCCTTTCTTTTCCTCGTCTATTTCACGTCGTTTGCCCGCGGGTTACTCTTAGTTCCCGGTAGATAAGCGCCGAGTGCCCAAATACTCAGAATCTAGTCATTCAGTGCCATCAGAAACACCATCGGCTGTTCGATTTAGGCGCTCGGCAACGGCAATGCAGTAAAGCTTAGTGGGTGTATGTATGGTTATTGTATAAGTAGATGTACAAAAAGTAATACATTATATTATAGATGTTTTAGCGTCAGATACATAGATATAAAGCAAATATAATTATATATCGCATTCGTCCGATTAATGTAAGGGCTTGCGCTCGTGTCTATCCCACGTACCACACTTAATGTTACGCCGTAGTTAAGATGTAATTCTGCCTCAGTATTATATACATTTAAGCTTATTTGTTACATAAGCTAATATTATATACACGGATTCTTTACGGGCGTAGTGACGTTACTACATAAGGGAGTCATATCAATCGTCAGCGCTTCATTTGTGTCCGGACTTGTGGTGCGTCGCTAAAGCGTTTGTATGGGAGTACAGATGGCGTTAGTGGCGCGTCATGTCCGCAAGGGTTCGAAGAGGCGCGCGCCCGTCGCTTTTACGGCATTTAAGATAACTCACAGTAACGTAAGTTCATCCTGCATCAAATATTTGCTGTACTTCACTCAGTACTAAATGAGAAGCCGACCACTTATTTTTCTAACATAACTCTTTGCTCAAAATCATCTGTCTCTTGTCGGTATTTAAAATTGTGTCCATTCGATGTTTACTATAATTGGATGTTCAATAGCGATCGGTGTACGTAGATAACCCTTATTTATGTGAATCCTCACCACTGTTCCACGTAATTTTAAGACATAATAAACTGTTTGGATATATTTGTGTTTCCCGTGCTGCATTTTATTGTGAGTTCGAAGTTCAAATTAAATCAATAAAATATAGAAATACAAAATTAGTGTTATTATTTTTAACAAAAACCTTAATTAATTAACCTTCCTTGCTCGGTAACATATTACGAACTATGGACGAAGACAAAGCGCACATTCTGCGCTTCCCGCTTCGTATTGCAAATGAATTTCAATAAAATTTGACTTAAGGGTAGTCGTACTTATTCAGATTATTATTCATCATAAATAAACAATATATATACTCAGCATAAAAAAAAAAATTGTTTTTTTATGATAGAAGAGGAAAAACAATCAAGGGGTTCACCTGATGGTAGGTGATACACTAGATACGTTTAAATAAAACACTTTAACGGTTCAAAACGCGATATATTAGTTAAACTTATTTGGAAATGATTTTTAACTTCGGCCCGACGTTTCGGCTGCTGCCACTACTCGCTCTGCTACTACTCGCGTAAACTATAGACAGTATCAGATACGTTGTCAACCGTTTGTTGTGCTTATTAGCCGTTGCCGTCACGCAGAAAATACTGAGGTGCATAAAATGCTCTAAGCACTATCATTGCGATTGTGTAGGATTCACTGAGATTCACGGCCTAGATCTCAATGGATTCGTCCAACTTGTTCTCCCATGCCTAAAACGCAAACTGACACCCCAACTACGTCATCGGTTTCGATAATCTCTGCCAAGGCACTTAGCAATATAGAAGATAAGATCGTAAGCACTATTAGGAAAGAACTCCCAAATATTATAAGAGAAGTATTGGCATCCGAATTGGAACCGTTAAAGGAGCACCAAGTCAATTTCAAAACAAATTCATTCGCGATAATTTTCTTACCGCAGTTATAAATTACACAAAGAGAAGAAACTCTCTTCGTCGTCCTTCTGTTCCGATCTACGTCAAAGCGCATCTGACACCCGCTAACAAAGCCCTTCACGCTGAAACACGAAAACTTTGTAAGCTAAAAGGCTACAAATTTGTCTGGGTGAGAAGCGGAAGAATATTTATAAGGAAACAGAAAACATCCCCTGCTAGAAGAATATCAAATTCAGAACACCTACATCAATTACTGGAGGATTCCTTGTTAATATTTTATAATTTATATTTAGTAGATTTAAATTCATTTAACTTATTTGTAAGTTTCTATTTTGTTGTTAAATGGGCAAGGAATATGATAGTAACTATGATTCAACTATAATCTGTGATAAAATCTTATACTATCAAAATATTAGGGGAATGAGAACTAAGCTCAATAGTATTAACCAGAACGTTCTTCTTTAAAATTATATGATTATTGTAATACATAGTTGAAACCTGGCTCAATGATAAAATATTGGATGGAGAAATATTTGATGAACGTTACGGAATTTACAGAAGGGACAGACAGTCAAATCCTTTTTACGGCCACAAAGAAGGCGGTGGTGTTCTGATACACAGGGCGTTAGGTCATGTAGGGTTACAAAATTCGAAAGTAAAGCAGAGGATTTGTGGGTAGAACTACATTTCCTTGATAATAACAATAATACCAGAACATTAAATTTGTGTGCAAATTACATACAATACCTCCTCCTATAAATATAGACGTATTTAATATATTTATGACAAATGCTTCTTTAGCAATTGACACCACGGATAGTCACCTCATAGTAGGTGATTTTAATCTGAGTAATATAACATGGATAAAACAAAACAACAAACAGTTTTTAACACCCATAACAAACGAAAGTCCAATATCGACATCATTTATTGATTTCATGTCGTTTTGTAATAACGCGCTATTGAACTTGTCTTAAACATTAATAATAAAAAAACTAGATTTAGTTTTTTCAAAACTGGCGAATTCTGTAGACCCGACAGATATGAAACAAGGCTCGAAAAATTCCAGATGAAGTCGCTTCTTGCTTATAGACATACATCACAACTCGTAACTCGGCACAAAATACCAAATAATCAGCTTGACTGCCCGGCACTACTATCTCAGATAAGCCTACATGTTCCCGCGTTTAACTGTCGTCTTAGTTCTCTTTCCACTATGTACATAAAACCTATTAAGGTATGTATGGAGCTTAAGATATGGTATCGTGAATTTAAAGACGAATCTCATGCATTTTACACCTTTACTAATATATAAAGCAGAATAGGGCTAACCTCAAGAAGGAGGGTTGGGAATTGAATTATTATTTCTGTGTTAGTTAGAGCATTTATCGAGGAAGACTATAGGTTATAAAACATCGCGCTGTGACTAATAGGAGCGAAGAAACAGCGGGATATGTGGAAAAACGGGGAAATATTCTTGTCTTTGTGAGTTTTCGATGATTCCTCTTTAAATTATTTAAAAAATGTCCGCGACAATACGTGTCTATCTTTCAACATTAACTTGCAAGAACAACGGGTTGCGGACAACGCGAAGTCCGTCAATACACGCTGGAGAAGGCCGCGTAATGTTCTTACCGACCCCGACGACGATCTAACGAAAGCCGTCGATTTCCTTACCGCTTTGCGATCGGCCGACACCGGCGCTGATCGCCCGCAAAACCGCCTACGCCGGCGTAGGCGAGGTCACTCGCTACGCGTACCGCTCACCCGGGTGAGCTTCCGTCCAGCTCTTCAAGCTCCCACCCTCATTGCGGCGGTCCAAGCCGAGGCCGATGCCCCCCTCGGGGCACCCTTGGTCTAGTCGCAAACACGGCGAGCGCTAACGCGCTCGCCCAAAACGTCCGGTTAGTATTCGTGGCTCCATAGGAACACAATACGTAATAATCAATTCAAAAAAAAAAAAAAAAAACGCGAAGTCGTGAGTAACAGCTAAAATTTATCAAGATGAGAAGGTTCGCAAAACAAATTTTAATACCAAAACAGTAATTCTACACGAACAAAGTCGCGGCCTCAGCTAGTTTCGATAATAACAAACGATCTTTGCTAAGGTAGTTTTAACAATTGTTTCTATCCACGCCTTTATACGTTTTTTTTATGACTAAATTTAACAAATTAGTTTTTAAGTGACATCTCGCTTTTAAATAAAAATTCTCTTTCCAATACCCAAAGCACTTACCGCCATCTACCGATAAGCAGTGTAAAACTATATTGTCACAGCGACATCTGTGCAAAGCTTATAATATTAGTATAACGTGGAACCAAAATTTTGTTTTTAAAACCATACTTTATAAACATCCAAAAGATGGCA